AGTATACAACTTTGTCTCCCATCATAGTAATTAACCTTTCAGAGGGCACATTGGTTTTCAAAACGGGAGAGGGCGCACCTGGAGGTTACTTCCAGGTCAATGAAAACAAACATTTATGAAGTAAAATTTGTATTTTAGTGCACAAATTAAGTTTAATTTTAAATTTTAAACATCCAAAATGTGTTTAGTGAACTCTTAATTATAAAATAACGTAATTTAGATTTTATAAATGTAAAATTAAACTATTAGGCCTATTCTATCAAATGTTCTAACATAAAAGTATATGAAGAAATCTTTTACAAGAATATATTCAAGAAGTTAATTTAAATTTTACCACAATGTCCTATAATGGGGTTTTAAATGATAACACTCTCAATACCTGATGTTTTAAGTAATTTAACATAATGGGTATCTTAATACTAAATGAAGTACATACGTTGTTCGTGAACCTCCCTTTCAGCACGGCTAAGAGTGTTGCAATTCCAAATTTAACTTCTTCACTCATCTTGTAAAAACTATATATTTACTAAATAATGCCATGAATCGTAAAAAAATAATTATTTACATTAATTGTTTACACGCAATAATCAACGCACACACTAAACTAGGGGTCGCATCACGGAAGTTGCCTCCAGGCTGTATAAGAATCGGCAGAGCGCACACGGAAGTTACTTCCAGCCTCTTACAAAACTGAACAAAACTAACAAATATAAAATAGTAGGGGTGAGTTTTGACCTTCACTCGATTCTAGGAATGAGGTGCATGAGGTACAGTGACACTCACACTGACGATACCACTCAAAATAATATAATCGCGAAAAATAAAACATCCCTGGAGGTTACTTCCGTGATGCGACCTCTGGAAGGTTAACACGTTCGCTGCTGGCGTTGTATTTTTACAACGTGCCTACCCGGCGCCAGGAGCTAGCGTTGTACATATACAACGCTGTGTCATTGTTGTTTAACGTTTCCATGGATCAGCCAGCTCGTCACGAGCGTCCTATATTTCTTTGCATCTCGTGGGGACGTACTTTTCTGACAATAAAAAATATAGTTTCCCAAAATCCCCACCAGGGTCGTTTAGAACAGGGCTTTGTCCCCACCTCTTTTCTGCTAGATAGCGACACTACTTTACCGACAAATAAAACTTTTATTTGCAAATAAAACTATTTAATATACTTCCAATATATTTTAGAAATCAGGAAAGTATTCATTTGTATAGGTCAAAATTATCAGATTGGCTTACAAGTCGTGCTTTTTATTCAGTTGAGGAGTTTTTGCAGAATGTAGATTTTTCAACGCTTAAAAATGTGAGGCCAAGCAGTCTTGATGATTCTTTGTTCTTGTTATGGTCTTTTCCCTGTTAATTTCAAAGTTTTTATTATTACTGATGCTTTATCCTTTTAAGATTCTTTTAACTTTATTTTAACATTTTCTGTAGAATATTTAATATTTTATATAACATATGTAACAAAACATGTTGACCTTGTCTATTGTAATGTTTATATTACCAAACGACAATAAAGATTTATTATTATTATTATTATTAAGATATTTACAAGAAATGTTGATTATATCGAACTGTTTTGTACATCGTGAGTATTTCCACAATCTCTTAGTCAACTATTTTAAAGTAATTGGAAATTATGACTGTTATTCGTTTTAAAATAACGCCTCTAATACTTCACAATTGCTCTAATTCGAGCAACAGGTACACTAGTATATACAAATTTTAACAAATAATGTTTTTGGCCTCTAGGGACATCAAGGAGAATAATTTATAAATAAAACACTTTTTTAAAACAAAACGTTTTCAAACGCACTAAAAAGTAGAAAATAATTTATAAATATGTGGACAGTATAAATACTTGTAAGATTTAAAACGAAAAACGTGGGGTGCATGCAATAGATAATTTACAATTACCTTCACCTATTGACCTAATGTATTATTATCAATTGCATGCACCCCACGTTTTTCGTTTTAAATCTTACAATTATTTATACCCTCCACATATTTATAAATTATTTTCTACTTTTTAGTGCGTTTAAAAACGTTTTGTTTTAAAAAAGTTTTTTATTTATAAATTATTTTCTACTTTTTAGTTTTTAATGTGTGTGGATGTTAAATATATTTCAAGCATCTATATCAGATTAAGACAGAGGCATGTGGGAAATCTAAGGTTTATTTGAGTTTCTTTTCATATAATTATGTATTAGATTGAACGTATGGCCTACCTACTAACACAGAGCATCTCTGTGCCTACTAACTATAGATATATCAATCTATTTAATTTCGTGTTTACTTTATCTATATAATTAATACGCTACATGAAACTTTGTCGGTTGAACTCCTCTGCCATTTCTTAACCGATTTTATCCATTGACGTCTCATTGGAAAGAGCGTGTCGCGTAGATTTGCAAACTGGCCTTACATTTTTGAAAAAGCCCCTTGGGCTCTGCCCCAGTGGCTTTGAAAGTTCCCATGTTATCCTTATGAAGAATATAATTGTTTACATTTTGATCAGCTGTATAATTTAATTGCTGTTATTTATTTTTCAATTGAATGAAACGCATTGAGTACATTATTTACTATTTGAGTTTGTGTAAACATAACCTCCAAGACGGATCGTGTTAGTATGGTTGTATCTTAGATTTGTGTATTTATCGTTGTTTTGTGTCGCTATGACGGATCGTGTTAGCATGCCTGTAACTTAAATTTGTGCATTTATCGTTGTTTTGTGTAGCTATAATTAGTTTATTTGTTGTTTTTTTTTCTTTTAAATGCCTCCGACGCGACGACAACAAAACATAGACAGGATGCGTAATCGTGATAACAACCGCAGCTACAGAACAGTGGCGCGTAATAGGCTTAACTTATCACAGTCAGCACCTGACCCTGGTCAATCTCAACTATTAGGTTACAAATGCGCCCTAACACTACCCCAAAACGACTTTTCGTTCTCAATTGGCCCTCTATCAATGACCTGTGTTGCCTGTACAGCGAGGCATTTTGAGAAGGAGAAAACCGGCCGGAATGCTTTAGGTTTATCAATAACGAAGATAAACATGGTCTGAGTTACACACTGGTAATCTTTGAGTTGACTCTTTTAAACTCATAAAATATGACTGTTATTCGTTTTGAAATAACTCCTGTAATACTTTGCAATTGCTCAAAATCGAGCAACATGTACACTAGTAGAATACTAAATAAATAACAATTAACAATATTAACAAACACCTTCATGTCTGAAATCAGATTGTTTATCTTTATTTTGAAATGTTTGTTTGTATAAAGAATCTCTTGGGAGCATAACCAAGGCCCCACTATAAAAAACAGGCCATGCTGCAGGATCCATGACGTCACACTAGTGGATAGATTTCATTGATAAATTCATTGCCATCGCCATTCCCATATGTTTTAGGTAAATAAACAAGCTGGCTGTTTGTAAGATTTTAATGGTAAGAGTTTAGTACAACTATCCACCACTGTGACGTAGTGTTGCGCTGCCCGTGCTGCAGCAAGGCCTGTTTTTCTAGTGGGGCCTAGGCATAACCTGTACCTCTTAACCTCTGCTCTTCGAACTGTCAAATTTAAGTATTTACAGCTGACTTAAATTAATTGATATGTTTACATTCTTTCCAAATGTAAACATGGAAAACTTGGAAGCCGATGGGGCGTAGCCCAAGGGAAATATGAAAATTAAAAGATATAATATTGCATTGTCATCCATTTGTGAGCTATGTTTCAAATTTCAAGTCTCTAGCTCATCGGGAACTTTGTTTAAAATTGATATCAAAATTTGTAGGAAAGCGAGCCAATAAAAACAAGCCCATGCCCATGGGGCGTAGCCCAAGGGAAATATGAAAATTAAATGATATAATATTGCATTGTCATCCATTAGTGAGATATTATGTCATTATTATTATTATTTTTTTTATCAGAATTTATTTTACAATCTGTTCAAACAAATATGAGAACAATAAGTAAAACATTTATCAAAACAATGTCAGGAAGTAAGCACCTGTTCATCAACAAGTCTTGCCAAAAATTGGATCAATCATTTAAATATTTACAGAAATCTGAAGCTTAGGTCCAGCACATGCACAACACTTTTTAATCTGGTAATGCACTGACTATTGTCCGGCAGATTAACAGCAAGACTGTTCGGATGGTATTCTAATTTTTCTTGATACTTTTTGCTAAGGTCTGTAATTTCTTCTTTCACTGATTTAATTTTGAAGTCATTCCTAATTGTAGTGTTGGATACGAACCAGGGATAAGATTCTTTCAGTTAAGCCTTCAGTCATTTGTTTATGTTTATGATCTATATTGAGTCTGTTCTAATATTTGTGAAATGCTGTAATAATATTTTACAGGGAGTAAGTCATTGAAAAGAAATTATTCATGGATATAGGAAATAATTGAGATTCTATAATCATTGCCGTATCAACCTAGGATCTTATCCTGAGTTTTATGAGAATTATTTTTTAGATATATTTTTGCGTAAACAGTAATAAAATACCCCTTCCGCAGCAAACCTGCAGACTAAGCGAATTTCCATTTGTCTGATTATAGTTTCACTAACTATTGACAAGTTTGGAACTAGTGTGATAGATTTTCGTTTACAGAACATGTTATTTGATTACTAGCTTATGTACCCGTTCATTGCACGGGTTGGAGGAGTTAAAAAAAATAATTAAATTAAGTAATAAAGTTCAATTTTTTTGTTTCTAATTAAAATGGTAGGTGTGAAACCATTTTTAAGGTATTTTCAAAGAACCAACATTGTCTCATTTGCATACTGACCCCGTTGCAAGGCACGGGTTAGCTGTTAGTGTTATATAAATAAGAAATAAATAGTATGACATTTTTGAGGCGATATTTTAGTAATCCAATCAGACAAATGAAAATTTGCTTAGTCTGCAGGTTTACTTGCTGGGGTAGGTATATTTTAATTCCAATGTTAGAAAATGCATTCATGATTAGTTGTAACGTTCCAGGTCCCTAGCAATCTAAGTGTGGAATGTGTTTCTTCAACTATGACACCCCCAGCTACAGTTTTGGACTCAGGTACAGTATCTATAATTTTCAAAAATTTGTACATTCAACCAAAACCAACAAAATTCTCTATATAGGTGATTGAAGTGATATCAGGATTATATTAGCACGACTACAACTATTTCTCTTCAATTAAAACACACTATTACAATCAACCTGCTATTAGCCTTTGATTCATAGCAAATTTAATATTCTTTCCAATGATTTCAACTATAACTCTCTAAAGTAATTAGTTCAACAATTATACCATTACATGGTCCACGTTATATCCAAAATAAAGTAAAAATTGCATTAAATTAATGAATTACGATAATTTTCATGAGCCCACTTTGATACATAAACCTGCATCTATACAATGTTGAAATGCATAAAAAACTTGGCCATAATCTTTCGAATGATATGCTATTCAATATTATTATTGATATAAATAAACCAGTGAGAAATTAGCAATAAACTACAACAAAACACGGTTTACAGATTTTGTTTTTGCACAGTTTTACTGTTAATAATAACTAGGTAGCGTTCGCAGAGGCATTCACAAAATTGAGCGGAGTCATCAAGGGTTCATATTATATTGTTTTTGTCATACTGCAGTAAAAACATTCGTTTTTAATGCATGCGTTGCGAGTGTAAAGTAGCATTTTTACTCTTTAGGGAGTAAAAATCGTTTTTAGCCTCTGTCGAGTAAAAATCAGCTGTTGTCAACTCAGTTGTAAATTTTGATTGTAAACGATTGCATGTATGGAAAATATGTATAGATTCGTGCTTCGTAATCATTTTAACCTACAGTCTACAGTCTCTTCCCGTAGCATTTTAGCATTGCAGATACATTAATCCATTCCCACACTCAACACTGCTCACCTTTACTACTTCCTTCACCACCCCCTACGTCGTGGACCTGTTCCCCTCTCTTACCATAGCATTTTAGGATTGCAGATACATTACATACAGATACATGTAATTGCCAAAGACAGTTCCCACTTTCTGCACTGCTAGCCTTGCTACTTTCTCCACCATTTCCTACGTCACAGACCTGTTTCCTTCCCTTCTCATAGCATTTAAGTATTACAGATACATTTATCTAACTGCCCAAACGGTGCCACCAAACTGCAGTGCCAGCCTTTACTACTTCCTTCACCCCTTCCTACGTCGTGGGGCCTGTTTCCTTCCCTTCTCAAAGCCTTTTAGGATTGAAAATATACATTAATCTAACTGCCACAGACGGTTCTCACGCTATGCTCATACTTTACTACTTCCTAAGCCACTTCCTACGTCGTGGACCTGTATTCATAACTTACCATAGCAATTTAGTATTTTAGATACGTTAATCTAATGCCACAAACATTCCCCACACTCCGCACTGCTAGCATTTAATACTTCTTTCACCATTTCCTATGTCATGGGCATGCTTCCATCCCTTCTAATAGCATTTCAGCATTGCAGATACATTAATCTAAATGCTACAAACAGTTTCCAGTTCCCATACTCCACACACTGCTCGCCTTACTACTCCCCTCACCTCTGCCTACATCGCGGACCTGTTTCCCTCTCTTCCCATAGCATTTTAAGATTGTAGATACCTTAATCTAATCGTCATAAACAGTTCCCACACTCCGGACAGCTCGCCTTGACTACTTCCTTCACCACTTCCTACGACTCGGACCTGTTTTCTTCCATTCCCATAGCATTTTAGGATTGCAGATAATTTAATCTAATCGTCATAAACATTTCCCACTCTGAGGCCTGCTCGCCTTTACTACTTCCTTCACCACTCCCTACGTCTAAGACCTGTTTTCCTCCCTTCCCATAGCATATAAGGATTGCAGATCCCTTAATCTAATCATCATGAACAGTTCCTACACTCCGGACTGCTCGCATTTCCTACTTCCTTCACCACTTCCTACGTCTCGGACCTGTTCCCTCCCTTCCCTTGGCAATATTGGATTGCAAATACCTTAATCTATTGGTCATAAACAGATCCCACACTCCGAACAACTTGCCTTGACTGTTTCCTTCACCACTTCCTACATCGCGGACCTGTTTTCCTCCCTTCCCATTGCATTTTAGGATTGCAGATACCTACCTTAATCTAATCGTCATAAAAGGTTTCCACACTCCGAACAGCTCGCCTTGACTACTTCCTTCACCACTTCCTACGTCGCGGACCTGTTTTCCTCCCTTCCAAAGCATTTAAGGATTGCAGATACCTTAATCTAATCATCATGAACAGTTTCCACAGTCCAGACTGCTTGCCTGTACTACTTTCATCACCACTTCCTACTTCATGGACCTGTTTTCCTCCTTTCCCATAGCATCATAGGATTGCAAATTCCTTAATCTAATGGTCATAAACAGATCTCACACCCCGAATAGCTCGCCTTTACTACTTCCTTCACCACTTCCTACGTCGTGGACCTGTTTCCTTTCCTTCCAATATCATTTTAGGATTGCAGATACCTTAATCTAATCGTCATGAACAGTTTCCACACTCCGAACAGCTCGCCTTGACTACCTTTACCACTTCCTACGTCACAGACCCGTTTCCCTCCTTCCCCTTAGCATTATTGGATTGCAAATACCTTAATCTATTGGTCATAAACAGATCCCACACTCCTGACAACTCGCCTTTACTACTTCCTTCGCCACTTCCTACGTCACGGACCTGTTTCCCTCCCTTCCCATAGCATTTTAGGATTGCAGATACCTTAATCTAATCGTCATAAAAAGTTCCCACACTCTGGACTGCTCGCCTTTAGCCTACTCCTTCACCACTTCCTACGTCACGGAACTGTTTCCCTCCCTTTCCATAGCATTTTAGGATTGCAGATACCTTAATCTAATCGTCATAAACAGTTCCCACACTCCGGACAGCTCACCTTGACTACTTCCTTCACCACTTCCTACGTCACGGACCTGTTTCCCTCCCTTCCCTTAGCATTATTGGATTGCAAATGACTTAATCTATTGGTCATAAACAGATCCCACACTCCGAACAACTCGCCTTTACTACTTCCTTCGCCACTTCCTACGTCACGGACCTGTTTCCCTCCCTTCCCATAGCATTTTAGGATTGCATATACCTTAATCTAATCGTCATAAAAAGTTTACAAACTCCGGACTGCTCGCCTTTAGCCAACTCCTTCACCACTTCCTACGTCACGGAACTGTTTCCCTCCCTTTCCATAGCATTTTAGGATTGCAGATACCTTAATCTAATCGTCATAAACAGTTTCCACACTCCGGACAGCTCACCTTGACTACTTCCTTCACCACTTCCTACGTCTTGGACCTGTTTTCCTCCCTTCCCATAGCATTTTAGGATTGCAGGTACCTGAATCTAATGGTCATAAACAGATCCCACACCCCGAACAGCTCACCTTTACTACTTCCTTCACCACTTCCTACGTCGCGGACCTTTTTCCTTCCCTTCCAATAGCATTTTAGGATTGCAGATACCTTAATCTAATCGTCATAAACAGTTTCCACACTCCGGACAGCTCACATTGACTACTTCCTTCATCACTTCCTACGTCGCGGACCTGTTTTCTTCCCTTCCCATAGCATTTTAGGATTGCAGATACCTGAATCTATTGGTCATAAACAGTTTCCACACTCCAGACTGCTCACCTTTACTACTTCCTTCACCTCTTCCTACGTCACGGACCTCAAGCTAGTGTCGTCATTTGATTATATTTATGATCCATACCGTTTCTGTTCTTATATCTGTGGAATAATGCTATCCGATATTTCTTTATCTACTGCATTCAAAAGTCAACAGCTGATCATATGTCTTTGTTTTTGTTTATGTGTCAAATACTGCTTCCATAAGGATTACATTGAAACTTTGTGAGACCCAGTGGGGCGGATTCCTGAGAGACTTTTTTAACGCAATATAGATGTTGGCACTCACCGATATGGTCTTTATCACTATGCAAAATTTGAAAATGATTGATTCAGCCGTCTAGGAGGAGTTTGCGTATTACGAAATGCATAAGAGTCGACGTATAAGAGCTTCGCTCGCTCCGCTCAATTACTATATTCATCATGTTGGCATATTCGTGATTGGTAAAAGGCTCCATAGTTTAATAAATGTTGAAAAACTCTTAATTGACTTGGAAAGAAAAAGTTGAAACATATTAGTTAAGTTTTTATTACATAAATTGTGGAGCAAAGTCTAATAAAATAAGAAAAACACAAAATCCCCTATTACAGCCAAACAGTTGAAAATCGGACATGGGTTTATAGGAACTTTTTTGTTCCTTTTAGTGAGTAGAACCTACTGGCGAAGTTAACACGGTCAGTAGAAACTCACCCTGTATACAGGGTGTCCATAAAAAACGTTTCAGGGCTTTGGGAAATGAATCCTCATACTAAAAGGAAGAAAAAAGTTTATGTGAAGGTATGTCCAAAAATGCATATTTATCCAGTTATCCGCCATTTCGTTTTGTATACAAAAATATTTTTATCCGTGAAGTTTTTTATTTGATGATTATGAAATTTGGTAACCATGCTAACATACAAAAGACCTATAATAGAAAAAATAATAAAGTTGTTCCGATTGTTAATTTTAAAATGGCGACAGTTTTAATCTTTCTAACTTAAACTACTTGAAAACGACTAATTCTATGAAAAATGTCAAGGATACTTTTTTTTAGCATTTTCAATTAATTCCCTATCAAATGATGCCAAGATCAAAAAGATCGGACAAAAGATAACTGAAATATAAAATTTGTTGTGTAAAAATAAGGCAAAGTTAGTCGGGGAACCCTTAATTTTGCCATATTTTTATACAAAAGACGTTATATTTCAGTTATCTTTTGTCCGATCGTTTTGATCTTGGTATCATTAGATAGGGAATTAAAAATGCAAAAAAGAAGTTTTCTTGACATTTTTATATAGAATTAGCCGTTTTTGAGTTATTTAAGTTAGAAAAATTCAAACTGCCGCCATTTTAAAATTTACAATCAGAACAACTTTATTATTTTTTTCTATTATAGGTCTTGTTTATGTTA